TGTATCGATTCAATCCGAGCCTGAAGAACGAGTGTAGGAAAAGGTGCCTAGGGTGCACTTCTCCTAACCGAGCGCCAATTTATCTTTAGTGCAGCGGCGGATCACAAATCCTGCAGCCGTTTGCTTAATACACATCCCACACACACAGATATGGGGAAAGAATGTCTGCAGAAAATAAATTCATGAAATATCAGGTTTAAAATATTTTATAATTTCTATCACACAGAAGATGTTCAAGTGTATTTAATAAAACTGAATTAAAATGTTAACACAGTCAGACACTACTAATTACACATACTGCTTACATGCAATTACTTTATTTAGCATTAGCTGTCCCTGGAGGACTAGCAGTTAGGCCTTGGTGCTCTCACTGCTGCGGCCTGGGCTCGATTCCCGGCCAGGGAACTGACCCCCGCCGCTGTAGTTGCACACGACGGTCCCAAGCCCCGATAAAACTGGGGAGGGTTGCATCAGGAAGGGCATCTGGCGTAAAAACTGTGCCAAATCAAACATGCGGACCAATGATCCACTGTGGCGACCCCTAACGGGAGCAGCCGAAATTTAACCTCTTTATTTAACATTAAAATGCATTCAAAAATTAATTAGTCCATAATATTATACTGCTTACAATGTTAGCGCTACACTGTGTGTGTGTGTGTGTTACAGCAAAATACTGCGTGACGGGGTGGTGTGATGACGCAGAGTTACTGTTACCACCCTGAAGTTGATTATTTTCCTATAACAGCATGACTTCAAGTGCTTTACTCCTCTTATACCACAGCCATTTACCAACAATCAATTAGAATTTTTAATTTATTATAGAACAAAACACTATACTTTTTTTTTTATTCATTTACAGTTCATTTAATATTGTGGAACGTTAGTGAAACAAGTTAGTTCCTGTTCTCACTTATGTTATAGCAGCTATAAACAGTCGTTCCCTCACCAGTCTCACTTGTTTCTCTCTCTTGAAGTTAATAAGACAAAAAAAAAAACCACAGCTTGTCTTGTTACCAAGAAACTGTAAAGCGTAAACCCCTCTGTCCTGAAGATGTTGGAAAACTTAAAGCTACAGCTTTACCTCTGAATATTACAAAGCGCTGACACTGGAGACTCCTTCCATAAATGTTAAATAAACATCTCTTTACAGAAAATCTCACCATATCAATGATTACACACATTTTTAATCTGTTTATGTGGAGTATCCCTGTGAATGAGCTGTTACTATAGAAATGATAACATATTAGAATGAGTGCATTAATATAAACCTGTGATTTGCAGTTGCACTACTGTCAGAGCTGCTGGTATAGAAAAATAATCAACACCTTCTGACACAATCACAATCCAGAATTCAACAGCGCTGTGGCATAATTTTACAAAAGATAAAAAGATAAAAGAAGATAAATATGTGTCACTTTTTCTTAAGTAAAGAAAATAATGAGAAGACTAAATAAACATTTTGTGATCAAATTTAAAGTTTCAAATTAGTTTTATTTAATTATCAACAATAATGTTCCCTGTAATACAATACTATTGAACCAGATTTTATTGTTTTCTTAACCAGAACAGTATCCATGTAACATCTGTGAATCAACATGAACAACAGAAAAGGTAAAACATTAATGATTTATTTGTTTTACTGTGGGTCGATCGCTTTTTGGCAAGTTTTTTTGTCAGTCTTGCTAGCGAGCTGGAAAATCTAAAGAACATCATCTCTGGTGGTATTTCATAAATCAAGTGATATAAATCATTCAGCCATAAACTTTAGGAAATGTAAGTTTTAATAGACTTATAATACACCACTAAAGGTAGAATATTCCAGTGTGAATTTTATCCTTGAATATTTAAATATTAGGAAAATCCATCAGTATTCAAACAGTGAAATTAGTTGACTTATCATTAAACTGGAACACTTTTAAAGAAAAAAAAGGTTAAATCTAGCTCTCCAAAAGGTTTTTTTTTGTTTGTCCCTTTGGGCAACTATTAAAGGTTCTGTAGAAAACCCTACAACAGCGGAGTACAACTAGAACCCTTAACTGTCCAAAGAACTCGAAATGATGACCATTTTTTTCCAAATGTATGGTAAATATTTTAGTAAATATTCAAAGACTGAAATGCATGTGTTCAATTTAAATTTATTTTTAAATTCCAAAATCGATAAGTTTTCAGGTACTTGCACTCACTTAGCCTCAGTTCCTCCATGAAGATGTGGAAAAAATATATCTATATTTTAAACCTGCATAGCACACATCTAAAATCAATCATAAACCTGTTGTATGTGGTTGAGATTTGTTGCCCTTAAGGAACTCAAACGACTATGAACGTGCTGAACCGTGCATCCTGTGGAGCAGCGAAATTCAGCGTTCCGTTGAGATCAATATTATTTATCTACCGATCTAACAACATCAGGAACGAGAGCTTACATTCCTGCAGCATGCAGTAAGTTCCCTAAAGAGAGAGTACGGCTGTGTCCTAAATACTGATGTTGGATAAGTTTCATTCTAACAAATAACAGTTGGCTAAAAACCTTTAAAGAATCTTCACATACACAGTGTTTAGTCAGTATGAACAGAACCCTGGTGTGTTCTCCTCCTCAGTGCGGTTCTTTAGTCAGGTGAGAACACAGAGATCACCTTCAGCTCAGGGAGCATCTGAGGGAGGTGGTCTCGTTCCACTTTCTGAGGGAACTCAAGTGAAAAAGTGATTTGACTCTGAATCGACTCGACTGTAAGAAATGAATCAAACACACCATGTGTTTTGGGTTGCAGAATTTTTTTTAGATTTTTTGTGAACAGCTGAACTCAGCCTCGAGATGCTGTGTGTTCTGGAGATCTGGAGATCAACTCTGGATATGACACAAAACATTTTAAACTAGTTATGTATGTAATTATAATCATTTATTTACAATCAGTGATCAGGTGATTTTTATGATTTCTACACACACTTGGTAAAGCTTTATTCAAGTTTTTTCACTTTTGTATTTCTTACCTATGAATGAAAGAGTTTTTTTGAGGATGGTTTCAGTCCTACACACCCCTTCAGACATTTCTTTTTGCTTTATGGTTTGTTTAATTATGTGCAGAGTTAAAAACAAACCTAATAGCACAAAGAATCAATTTCACTCTGATTAAGACTTGACAAATGGACTAATAGGTGTGAAAGCACTCTTTAAACATTCTATATATCACATCTAGCATTTATATTCTCTATTTATTCATCAGTCCAATCTCAAAAACCCTTAAAAATCCTGTGGTTTGGGACAGAACATACACACACTATGCTAAAAACCTCAGTGCTTTGTGTACATGGTCACCTGTTGTCAGATTAGGCTGCAGAAACAGATGCAAGTGCAGACCTTTTATTTTATAACAGGAAAACAAAACTAACAAAGTCAAAGCAGCATTCACAAAACGAGCAAAACACCAACATAGAGAACACAGCATGAAGCACACAAGAGAGACTTAGTAAACAAGCAAAGAAACATCAGGACTTAATTAGAAACATTAATCAAGGGGAAACACAGAACTGGTGAGTGCAATCAGAAAAGCAATGGCATGTGACAGGGTCATGTGATTTGACTGTAGTCTGTGAGGCTGATGGGAAATGAAGTCCAAGGTGGCCATATTGCGAGGTCGTAATGACGTGACACCTGTTAACAAATAACACTTAATATTGACTCACTGTAATAACTGGAGTTCAGAAGCATGTGTTTATTTGGTATTTTTTCCAGAACTAAAGGTAAAAGTAATCAGAGTCCAGAGTGGTAGGTTAGGGTCAAAACCAAGCATGACTAGAACTAGAAAACTGTAAAGATAGAACAAGGAACTATCTACTACTATGGCTCAGAATGTCAGCTTTACACATGCTTTGCAAGGAAAAGTGAGAAAATAAATTGTGCACTATGGCTAAGACTCAAAATGTGCACTATGCATGTACTTACACTATACATTCATACTATGCTGTAAATGAACAATAATAATTATATTATTATATAACTATCATAGAAGTGAAATCCATCCATCCATCCATTTTCTGTGCCTTTCATCCTACACAGGGTGGAGCTTATCCCAGGGGACACCTGAACAGAGTGCCAATCCGTCACAGGGCACAATCGCACACACACACACACACCCATTCACACACTACAGACAATTTAGAGATGCCAATCAGCATACAACACATGTCTTTGGACTGAGGGAGGAAAGTAGAGTACCCAGAGGAAACCCCTGAAACACAGGAAGAACATGCAAACTCCACACAAACAGGGCAGAGGAGGGAATGGAACCCCCAACCCCGAACGTGCAAGGCAAACGTGCTAACCACTAAATCACCATGCCCAGAAGTGCAATCCAACATTATATTTGTGAATTTGATGTCCAAGAAGCTGAGTTTAAGTCAAAACAACAGCAGACCAAAACCAGAACCTTGTGGGACGCCACGTTGTACTTTTTTTAGGTTCTGAAGAATCTCCATTAATGCAAACATGTTCTGTCAAATAAAAACTAAAGCTAGACGAGTGTTTACAAGTCTGTCTGTTAAAATGTTATGGTGAATACTGTCAGGTCCAACAATACGAATAGAAACAGATCCACAATTCAAGGCAAGCTGTAGGTCAGTGACTTGGGGTGCCAAAGGAGTCAGAATGGAGTTGGACATGAGTCATGACTGAGATGGAGAAATATTATTTGAAAAATGTTATATTAAATAAAAACAGCTAAGACTTTTGGAGTCCACTCCTTTCTGTGGATGAATCCAGATGGATAAATACAATAGCTTTATTGCCTTCGAGCTTTTGTTCTGCAGAAGATGGAATCCTAAATGTGCACCAGAAACTACTGGGTGTTAAATGAGAAGAAACAAGCGTGCAGTGTGTGTGCCGTTTTTGATAAAAAGTGTTTTAAACAGCCATTAAGAGCACAGACCGCCTCCATCCTACACTGTCACTTTGATGCTGTTCGGTAATTATCCTTCTGTTCCAGCCCGTTAAGAGGAGAGCAGAACCCTCGTTTACTTAACGAGTCGGAGCTGAACGCTTCTCACGCTTGTTTATAGTGCAATGTGAAAGAAAACTGGTGGAAAAAATGGGGAAATTGTTGGGAGGAAATGGGAATGTGACACAGCGCTTAATTTAGAGATGTTTACAGAAGAAGGAAAACAGCTACAGGTAAAACAACTGTGTGTCTGTCTGTGTGTGTGTGTGTGTGTGTGCTATAGCAAATTTAAGCTAATATATAGTACATGCTGTATAAATAAATAAAGACAGATAATCACAAGAAAGAAAGAAAAAAAGAAAGAAAGAATTTGCAAAGAAATAAAGAAGGTAAAGAAACAGTCTACTGTACTGGTGTATTTCTCCTAAAAGAAGATGCAACTGGACCCTCTGAGATTGTGAAATCTGTCCTTATGGTCCATTAATGTACATTAAGTGAGTAATAAAGTTTACAGCATTTAATTTCCCAGGTGAAATGCACACACACTCAAGGTGTATAAAGGGGAAACCATCCAAGTGACTAGCTTTGAGGAATGCTGAGAGGAATTGTTCAGCGAGGAGGTAATAAACTCCAGTCCTCAGGGGGGCATTTCAGAATAATTATTAATAAAACTATTAATAACTGAATTAATTATAAATAATCAAAACGAAAAAGGAAAAGATAATGAATAAAGCAATAAATTATTTGTAAATACATTGGCGGACTAATGGTTAGGCCACAGCGCTCTCACCGCTGCGGCCCGCGTTCGTTTCCCAGCCAGGGAACCGACCCCAGCCGCTGGGGCTGTGTGCAACAGTGCGCTCTCAGTGCCATTCCCAAGCCTGGATAAAATTGGGGAGGGTTGCATCAGGAAGGGCATCTGGCATACAAACTGTTCCAAATCAAATACATGGACCAATGATTCACTGTGGTGACCCCTAATGGGAGCAGTTGAATGAGGAACAACAACAGCATTCTCTAAATCTGAGAAAAATGGTGATTCAAAAAATGAGGAAAACAGGAAAGAAAGAAAGAAACAAAGAGGAAAACAAATCAGACTGAAAGAAAGAAACAATGAAAAACAAAGAAAGAAAGAAGCATGAACTTTCTTAACCAGGCACATCTCCAGTCCCAGTGTTATATCAGTCTCATATGGTCACATGACCTCTTAAAAAATACAGTGTTTTAATATGGAACAAATGAAGAACCTCACATCATCTTTAAGCTCATGTTTAGCATTTGTCAGCATGTTTAGTCCAGATGTGAAGCGGGTCGCTCTGACCTGAACAGGACAGCAAGGGGTTAAATTTAAACTGCCCATAATCTCCAGATGTCTCTCCTTGCTGAAACTCAATCTCTCCTCTTTCTCTCTACAACACGCAAAACACTGTGCGTGATGATTATTTTTCCTCCTTTCAGGTGAGACACCTTGTTCTAACAGGCACCTGATTGTGTGTAAACATACAGTGAATAGTGAAAATCGCTATTAGAATGTGGAAAATCACCGTAATTAGGTGAGAACACAATAGAGCTCGGAGGTGTCACCCAGTTCTTTACAAATGTCAAAGAAAAGGTGAAGTGGATAAAAATGACCTCACTTTGGGTGCCGGCAGGTTTAGAGGGATTAAGCAGGAAAACTTCTAGTTAATACCCAAAACACACACACATCCACACACAGCCACACACACACAGGTAATAATGTATTTGTGGGAACCAAATCTTCACAAACGTAGTAACATAAGAAAATGACTTGTGAACTTGTACACTTTGCAGAGTGGATTTGAAAAGTATCTCTCTCTCTCTCTCTCTCTCTCTCTCTCTCTGTGTAAAAATATTTAAAACAGATTTGTTTTTCCTGCAAAAAATCCACAGTATTTACAGAAAGAAAGAAAGAAGAACATTCCAGTCTTTGACATTTAGCTGCTGTTCCTGACTAACACACACTGAGGTTCTGTCCCAAATCACTTATTTCTTTATTCTCCTCCCTTCTTTCTCTCTTTCTTTCTTTCTTTCTTTCTTTCTAATCTCAGGAGCAGGCTTGTTGTGTCCTCTTTAACACACTGGGACATTCGTCCTCTGTCCCTGACTAACACACTCTGAGGTTCTGTCCCAAATCACTTATTTCTTTATTCTCCTCCCTTCTTTCTCTCTTTCTTTCTCTCTTTCTTTCTTTCTTTCTAATCTCAGGAGCAGGCTTGTCGTCTCCTCTTTAACACTCCTCTGGGACATTCGTCCTCTGTCCCTGACTAACACACTCTGAGGTTCCATCCTGAATCAGTAAGAAGTCTTTCTTCTTTTCCTTGCTTGTGCATCCGTTCAGGACGTTGCTCCATTCCAGCATGTCTTATCCTCTTAGAAACACTTTCACTCGTACCCCTCTGTCCAAATCCCTTCGTCTTTCTCTACAAACTTCACTTCCCTTCCTGTCTGTTTCACTTCACCTCGGCGGAATAAAAACATTTCAACAAAGCGGTTTTAACCCTTCCTGTAGTGTGCACTACTTAGCAATGAAATCACTCAGAATAATTCATATTTTTTTAAAAAATAATTTGCATTTTGCACTAAAAATAAAAGATAACTTTTACATTAATGTTAAATGTATTCTAGCGATAAAAATGTGCAGGATGAAATGTGGGTCAATAAGACACAACACATCACCAAGTAGTGCACTCCAGGCGAGTTAATATCTCCTGGGCCGAGTGTGTGTTTTTCTCCCGCGGTGAAATTTCTGTGTTGAAAATCGCAGCGAGACGCCGCTCTAAATGGAAATGGATTTTGTAATTGCAGTCTTTTAGGGTGAAACTTTTCATCGACCACTTTTCAAATAACAAATTTTATGCCCTGAATGAGGCGTGAAGTTCTAAAGTTTTACTTCACAGTCCTTAAAAACGAACTTTTTTTAAAACTGACGGTTCCGTGTCACAGAACAACAAAAGTGACGCTAAGAACTCCATAGTGTAATCAGAATCGGGCTAATTAGCAGCTTCCTCAAACGAATAATTAAACAGCAATATTGTTGTTTTTTAAACCAGGCGGTAAACAGATACTAAATCCATCAGAATGATTAATATGATGATGATGATGATGATGATTACTATTATTATTATTATTATTATTATGGAAAATTTATTATAGCACTACACATATATACCTGGGGGTAAAAAAATAGCTTTCAGTCCACGTCCACGTCCACATAGAAATTTTAGTTCCTCTCTCTGTACACTGCTGGTGCTACTTGGCTGTGGGTGGGGCTTCTTTATAAACACTTTTAGCTAGTGTTAGCTAGTGATTTTAGCAGCAATTAACACTCAAAGCATGTAAATGTATAAGGGAAATAATGTAATAATATAACAAACAAACAAACAAACAAACAAATACACATATAAATAAAATACTTTCTAAAAAACAGTTTTCTATAAATTATTTACAGTTATAAGGAAGTATCAGTCATCTCTACACTCCATTAAGGTGCTTAATTACAACCATTAAGGGTTCTTCAGGTGTCCTTATTGGGAACCCTTAAAGGTTCTATTCAGAACCCTACAACACAGCAAAATACAGAATAATTAAATAATACAGAACCCTGTATCTGTTTCCTGTAACTGTTAACTGTATCAGAGATGACTCCAACAAAGAACCCTTTCTTATTAAAAAGCACCCATGAAGAATGTATATAACTATATACATTCTTATAACTGAGTGTTTCCCTATGAGAAATAGGAGGCTCTATGAGGATAAGGATCCTTAATTATCCAAGGAACCCTAAAGAACTCAGGAAGAACCCTTTTTTCTAGCAGTGTATCAGGTACCAAGAAGCTAAATGTTAAAACCCCTTATAGGTTCTAGGTATTAAGAAGAAAATAATGAGCAATTATTTGCAGTTTGTACTGCACACATACCCAGTTAATACACACACTCTTAGAAAAAAGTGTTCTTCAGGGGTTCTCCAAAAGGAACCCTTTCTGAGAGGAAAATCCGTGTTGTGGGGCTCTACATAGAATCTTTAAGGGGTAATTCAGAGGGACAAGACAAAGGACCTTTTAGTGTACACTCTTAGAAAATTTGGAAGCCTTAAGGGTTCTTCAGTTGTCTGGAACCCTACAAAAGAGTGTTTCCCCTAAGAAAGAGTTCCTATAAGAAGTAAAAGAACAAACTCTTTGACAAAAAAGATGGAAAGGGTTCTTTAAGGATTCTTCAAATAATGAAGGGTTCTTTGCTTCTAAAATGTGTCCAATGCCTTATAAGAACCATTTCTTACAGGGAAGCAGTGTGTTAATGTGTTCTACATAGAATTTTCTGCTTCTTAAGGGTTTAGGATTGCAGTTATTTATGGTTACTTGAAAAGCAGCTGCATGAACAATTCTATT